TAGCCTCTAATACATCACTTTAGGAGGCTCCTGAATGTGACTTCAGGCCATCAGCCGGCCAAGCCACTCGTGAAAGGAAAAAAGCTGAACCACGTATTCAAGGGGACAAATGATGTGTTAGTGAAAAACAGCAAAATTAGGCTATGGCTGCCTGGTTAATAGCTGCCCTACAGACAATCTGAATAAAGATCAACAGAAGGGAATCTGACCAAGAGTTGTTCTATTTTAAGATAGTCACAAACACACACACAGAAAAAAATATAACAGTTTGATTTTTATGTAAGCATTAAGAAAACTACTATATCATAGACACTTTCAGTTCCTCTTAATTCAGGAAGGATTGCTGGTGTAGAGTTGAAGGAAGAACAGAAAGAGAAAAGCAAAAAAAATTCTGGTTAAGCTTAAAACAACCTCATGTTTTGTTAGCAAGGAATAAATTTAAATGAATTAGAAATAAAGCTAATTGACACACTCATTTTCAAATCTGAAACATCTAATACTGCTTTAGAAAAACAAGAATCTACCCACTGACTAAGCTTGCGCCAAGCCTAATGATCAAGTCCATCTTAAGAACTTCACAGAATGGGGAGACCAGGAGAGGCACCTGGCTCCTGCCTTCGGATCAGCGCGGTGCGCCGGCCACAGCACACCAGCCGTGGTGGCCATTGGAGGGTGAACCAACGGCAAAGGAAGACCTTTCTCTCTGTCTCTCTCTCTCTCACTGCCCACTCTGCCTGTCAAAAAAAAAAAAAAAAAAGAACTTCACAGAATGGATCACTGCTCCAACAATCCTCCTCAACACCACTGACTAAAAAGTAGATTTCTACACTTTGGCCTACATTTGAATAAACTGTGGCACACCCAAACAGGGTGATGAAAGAATAGTCAAGAGAATAGTCAAGAGAATTTTTTTTTTTTAAGATTTATTTATTTGGCAGGCAAAGTTACAGAAAGAGAAAGAGAGTCAGACAGAGACAGAGATCTTCCATTTGCTGGTTCAATCCCCAAATGCCACAATGGTTGGGGCTGGGCCAGGCCAAAGCCTTCTGGGTTTCCCACATGTGTGACAGAGGGCCCACTTGGGCCCTCTTCTGCTGCTTTCCCAGGCCATTAGCAGGGAGCTGGACCAGAAGTGGAGCAGCCGGGACTCAAACCGGCACCCAAATGGGATACTGGTAGTGCAAGTGATAGCTTAACCTGCCGTGCCACAGTGCTGGCCCCAAGAACTCTTAAAAGTATTTCTTTTAAGGCAGAAAAAAAAAAAAAAAAAAAGTGGGAACATTTTGACAGAATCAACTCATTAAGTCGGTATAATACCTAAATCACAAACTATGATCAACTTACACTCTAATACTAGCCCTGCTTATAACGAATGCATAATAGTCGACAACAACTTAAAAACTGAAAGATCTGGGTTTGGCCTTCGTCATGTGGATAAGATGTCGCCTGGGGCACTGATATCCATGTCAGAGTGCCTGGGTTCAGGTCTTGGCTCCTCTCCCAGTTCCAGCTTCCTGCTAATATGCACCCGGGGAGGCAGTAGGTGATGGCTCCATGCCACTCCTGCGGGACAACTGATGGAACTCCTGGCCCCTAGGCATTTGGGGAATAAACCAGCAGTGGAAATGCTCTCTTGCTCTGTCTGTTGCGACCTCTCAGATACATTAAATAAAGACTGGTTTAAAGAAAATTAAAATCTTTTAATTCCACTTTCCTTTTGAAGACAGGTTAAACATAAAATGCAAAGAATAAGAAAGAATCACCCCATGCTCCCCATAGAACAGCTCGGACTAAGGAGGGAAAACACAACGCATCTTTGTAACTAGCAACGAACCAAGGCAAAAATTTACAACTCCTAATATTCAGAAGACTTAAAGATGTTTCTCATTCCATGTCTCCTACTGTTCTACCCATTACTCCCTCATGGCTGCAAGGACTTTGAAATCCAGCATAGAAAGAACTCGAACAAGGGAGCTAGCCTGAACAAGGAAACAAGTCTCCTGAAAGTGAAGACCAGGAACTCCGTGAGAATCCCTGCCGACTGTGGTGCAGCCAGGCTCTCAGACTTCCTTCAGTTAGGACGTCTTCCACCGCAGCCCGACTACAGCGTGCAGTAGATGCATCTATCCCGGGGCTGTACTGAGGCTACCACCCTAGCCAGGGTCCATCTCTTCACACAATTACGTCAGAGTTCAACAAGAAATTCTAGGAAAGAGTCCTATACATGCTATCATCCCAACAGGCTTTTTTTTTTTTTTTTTTGACAGGCAGAGTGGACAGTGAGAGAGAGAGACAGAGAGAAAGGTCTTCCTTTGCCGTTGGTGCACCCCCCAATGGCCGCCACAGCCAGCGTGCTGCAGCCGGCGCACCGCGCTGATCTGAAGGCAGGAGCCAGGTGCTTCTCCTGCTCTCCCATGGGGTGCAGGGCCCAAGCACCTGGCCATCCTCCACTGCACTCCCTGGCCACAGCAGAGAGCTGGCCTGGAAGAGGGGCAACCGGGACAGAATCCAGTGCCCCGACTGGGACTAGAACCCAGTGTGCTGGCGCTGCAAGGCGGAGGATTAGCCTAGTGAGCCGCGGCGCCGGCCTCCAACAGGCTATTTTTAAAAGCATCATTTTCAACAATGAGAAGACTGCTACGTGGTTTATATGCTCAACGTGAAAACAAACTTGAATGCTTTAAGAAAGGGTTTCGGTATTGGGAAGGGCGGGAGAGATGCCTGGTGCAGCAGTTATGTCGCCACTTGGGACACCCAGTTCCCCTGTCAGAGTGCCCGGGGTCAATTCCCGGCTCCACTTCTGATCCAGCACACCCTGAGAAGCAGCAATGATGGTTCAAGGACTTGGGTCCCTGCCCCCAACGTGGGAAACCCAAATTGAGTTCCAGGGCTCCTGGCTTTGGCCTGGCCCCGCGCCAGCTGTTGTGGACATTTGGGGAAACACCTAGCTGATGGAAGATCTCTGGCTGCCTTTCAAATAAAAAAATAAGTAATTTTTTAAAAATATGTATTTATTTACTTGAAAGTCAGTGTTACAGAAAGAGAAGGAGAGATAAAGAGACAGAGAGATCTTCTATCCATTGGTTCACTCCCCAGATGGCCACAATGGCCAGGTCTGAGTCAGGTCAACGCCAGCTCATCTTGTTCTCCCACGTGGGTGGCAGGCCAACGCTTGAGACATCCTCCACGGCTTTCCCAGGCCATTTGCAGGGAGCTGGATGGGAAGTGGAGAAGCCAGGACATGAACTGGCACCAGATGGGGTGCGGCATTGCAGGTGGCAATTTATCTGCTATACCACAATGCCAGCCCCCCAATAAATAATTTAAAAAGTTTTTTAAATACATTGTGAAAGGCTACACATTGACTAAGCATTTCTTTCATGAGGAGGGGAAAACAGTTTTAAAATCCAAAAAGATAAACATACAGATTGGGTAAAAAAGCCTTACAAAGAATTAGGCATTAGAGGAAAATTAGCAAAGCCAAGCCTATGTCAATATAGTAGAACAGATTGGCAAATACAAAGCAAGAAAAGTAAACACTGATTTAAAAGCCATCCACAAAGGTGCAGGTATGCAGACCTAAACAGCCTCTCGCCCTGACACAGCCTCACCTCAGAGAACCTGAGATTTATGTCTTTGTTTTACACTGAACTTCCCAAGAAGCAAAGTCCTAAGAAAGGTCATATGCTCCACAGTCACGAAAGTGAGAGAGAAAAGATCAGAGAAGAGGCAGACTCACGGGGCAGCAAAGCATGCTGGTTAAACAGCAAAGCATGCTGGTCAAACAAAGCGTGCTGATGAAGGCTCTGCATCGGGACCAGGCTTGCTTCTCAGTTTGGGCCCTGGGTGATCATGGGCAAATCATGTAACCTCTCTGCACCTCAGTTTCCTGTTCTATAGAATACAAGTCGTAGTGCCTACGACCCAGCGGAATTCTGAGCACTGCAGAACATAGGCCAAGCGTGTAGCCCGTGCCCGACATACAGGTAGTGCTCAATGAGTCCTAACTAATAGTAACAATGACAGAACCCAGCAGTTCTCAAGCAGGAGTAGGCAACCCACCTGGGGAGCATCCCTGGAAGCATGGGGGTGACACAAACAAGAGGCGTGGGAAGGATGTGGCGGGGCTAAATGTCCCGCAAGGCTCAGGAAGAAGTGCCCCACCTAAAAGACCACCAGCATCCTCCCTGAGACGTGGACAGCAAGGAGGAAGAGCGACCATCTTACAGCATCGGGTGGGGGGCGGGTGCCGCGGTCCCAGGACTAGCTAAGAGGTGAAAGACAGAAAGCAAAAATGACACTGACATTTTAAACACGCCCTCAACAGTGGCCCGCCTTCCTGACTTACTCTTATTTGGTGTAAGACCAACGGCAGGCAGTGCTGTTGTTTTCAAAATCCGTCATGGGTGCAGAAAACCTGAATGCTAGTCACAGAAAAGATAAACTCAGTACGGCCCAAGCAGGAGCAGCAGAGAGACTCACAGCTCAAGGGCATCTGTGGCCATGGTTCTCAGTGGGAAAGGCCGTGCACAGGGAACACTGAGAACCCCCCACACACGTGCACAGGGAACACTGAGAACCCCCCACACACACGTGCACAGGGAACACGGAGAACCCCCCACACACACGTGCTCAGCTACACACCAGCATCTGCTCAGGCCCTGCTTCTAAAGAATAAGGTACACGCATGAACCCCGCGGCAGGGGTGGCAGCAGACTGCTTTCTTCAAATAGAACCCTCGGCTATGTATTTGAGGTATATATTTTGCATCATTTTTAGAAACCTATTTTTCTCTTCTATGTAGCCTTCTTGAAATAAGGAAATCAAGACTCATGAATAGCACTTTAAACAGCTATCGTTAAACTACTGATTGATTCAAAGCAAGCCAGAGTCAACGCAAGCCTGGCTGGCTTGAAAGAAAATGGCATTCATCACGAGACTGTGGGTTGGCGCTCTAGGTAGTCACCCAGGACCATCTTTGACTGTAAGGGAGAGCTCACCATTCCGACATGTTCTCATCAGAGCCCTGCTTCTGCTCGTCGGCGTCACACTCCATCCTCTCCTTCCTGCCTGTCTTGCCCAGGAAAGTCCTGGTTTCTGCTGATTCACACAAGCCGTGGCCCGAGGAGGCCCAGGGAGTGTTCTCCTTGCAGCGGGACAGACGCTGCTTCTTGGCAGACTTGAACCTGCAGCCTCTCTCATAGCTCCAGTCCGACACCTTCAGCTTCTGCTGCAGACTGGCAGCCACCTCGGACGTCACCCGCTTCACCTTCCGGCGCCGCCGGAGGGGTCGGCAAGGCGCGTTTTCAGTAAAGGAGTCAGACTCGTGCCAAGAGTGCTGCTTACTCTTCACAATGGCATTGAGCGCCGGGTGCCGTTTGGCCACCGTGGTGTCATCAGAGTCGCTGAAAGTGGTGACCGGGGCCACTTCTCGACAGTCCTTGATGGCCTCATCCAGGCTCGACTCGGAGGCCTCGCTGAAGCAGCAGGCGTGCTCCGCCAGGTGCGTGAAGTCAGACCGGCGCTTCCGGCCCCGGCGCCTCCGGAGCTGCCGCCTCTGCTGCCGCGGGCTCAGGGCCATCTCCTCCCACAGCTCGCCAAGCTTATTCTGCTCAGAGGTCTGCTCTAAGGCGGAGGCTAAGTCATGTACCAGCTCATCCATGAGGGCCACATCTGCAAAAGGAAGTTCAAAAAAAAAGCCTGACTCGGGTCCACTGTGTTCAAGTAATTTTTTAAGACAGATGGCAGAACTGCAGAATCCTACAGAAAATATAAAGTCCCCTGGCTACACTTTTTTTTTTTTTTTTTTTTGACAGGCAGAGTGGACAGTGAGAGAGAGACAGAGAGAAAGGTCTTTCTTTGCCATTGGTTCACCCTCCAATGGCCGCTGCGGCCGGTGCACCGCGCTGATCCGATGCCAGAAGCCAGGTGCTTCTCCTGGTCTCCCATGCCGGTGCAGGGCCCAAGTACTTGGGCCATCCTCCACTGCACTCCCTGGCCACAGCAGAGAGCTGGCCTGGAAGAGGGGCAACCGGGACAGAATCCGGCGCCCCGAGCGGGACTAGAACCCAGTGTGCCAGCGCTGCAGGCGGAGGATTAGCCTATTGAGCCGCGGCGCTGGCCCCCTGGCTACACTTATCTTTCAAACCACCCATGTTCCCTTAAGTCACTAAAACAGGTATCCAGTCCGTGTTAAATGCCCGTATTTAGCCCTTGTGAAAGGGCTGAAGTCAGGAGTTGTTAAGCACAAAAGCTCAAACGCTCATCAGATGTCAACTGGAATCTTAACAAAACCAGGCAAATAAACTCAGAATAGATCGGGCCTATTTTCCCCCAAACTTGTCACTGAATTATCTGATAATGCCTCATCAGACAGAAAATCACACAGCTGCTGAGCTGGGCAAACACAGGGCAGAATCCAGTCTCCCGGGGGGAGAACGGCTGAAGGGCCATCCTGCGGTCTGGGTCCCTGCTGAGAACGCACAGGGCAGGGAAGGGCAAGGCAACTTGGGGGCAACGGCGGCTTGCGGTTTTAGGGACCCGAGTTTGTACTCAGAATGGGCAAGAGACCAAGCTTCATCCATCCTGACCTGGTACCGCGGGCAACCTGGAAGCTACTAGGTCTGGAACTGCACTGGACATGTCACGTGTGTCTGAGTAACTGGCAACGTTTAAGCTGCTCACCCCAGCCTTCAGAAAACAAGTGATCATCCTAAGTATGTGTTTTGGTGCCGCACCGCCTTGCAAAACCAGAGTACAACTATGCTGAAATGACAGGGCTGAGAATCGCTGAACTTTCTGGCTAACTCCTTTCCCAAGTTCCAATTTTGCTACTCATGCTCACCAAACTCTCACACTTCCTGAGTCACCTGAGACACCACAGGGAACACAAACAATTTTCCAAAACTCTTCTTTTAAAGGGAAATGTCTAATATAATCTGTGCAACACCTAATTAAATATACATTAAATTAGCACCTTTCCCCTAACCCTCGTTAAGCCCAAAGACCCTACTTGGGGCTTAACCCTGCGGCGTCGCGGGCAGCCTGCGTTTCCCCTCTCGAAGCTGGTATCTTGCACAAGGCTCTCTAAAACCCTTTCCCCTGGCCTCTGCGCTCCAAGGCAGGAAAGCGGAGGTGCCACCTCTGTGAGAGCAAAGGCAACACCGAGGTCCAAAACCACCAGCGAGTCCCAAAGCCACACGCATCACAAGCCCACATCCTCCAGAGCAGTAACAGGTGACGGGAGGAGGAGAGGCAACGCACCCCTGCAACCGCAAGAAGCCGCTGGGCAGAGAACGCCTAAGCCCACCGCCCCCATAAAGAACGCCTGCTTTAGAACTCGGGCAGGCAGAACTGCACAAACTTGCACGTGGAACCAAGTCACCAAACACCCGCCAGTCCAGTGCCTGCCGGCACAGCATCCTCTCCTGCCTCCAAGGCTGCGATCCAAGCAGGGGGTGAGGGGAGGACCCTGGGGCGCCCGCACGCCAGGCACCGGTGCAGCACGCAGCCCACTAGAGGGTGAGGCTGTGTGAGTCACGCCCGGGGAAGCGGCGGAAGCGGGGAGGAGTGGGGGGGACAGCGAGGAGGCGCGGCGGGCGCTGGGCGCAGGACCCGGGTGCGGCGAGCGGGGGCTCACCAGGGGCGGGGGCTCAGCTGCCAAAGAGCAAGTCGTGGCGACCGAGCGCCCTCCGCGATCGGGGGCGCAACGCTGCCACACAGGTGAGGACAATCGTGTTTCCAGGGACCCTCACCACGCCCCGGCCAGTCGCTGAGGGCGAGGGCGATCACAGCTCAGGGCACCGCGCGCCCACGCTGCCGCCAAGGGAGGCAGACAGCAGCGGGGAGAGGAGGCGGCGGTCGCCCCGGGGGTGGCCCGCTGCTCATCATCAGGGATGGGGGCCCTGGGCCCTGAAGAGCAAGGCCCCGCCACCCTAGCCCCAGCCTCCGGCCGCTGCAGCCCCAGAACGCCCTGAACCTTTCAGACTCCAGCCCCGATCCCCTCTGGCGTTGGCCCCCTGGACCCCGACCCTCTCCTCCCGCTCCTCCCCCTCACCGGCTGCCGCAGCCGCCTCCAATGGCCACCGCTTTTTGGGCCGAGTCTCCCCGCCAGGGTTTCCCTCTCTGATCTCATTTCCGGTCTGGGCCGGAGGGGTGGGGCGGCGGCGGGGTGGAAGGCGCTGGCTGCGCGGGAGGGCCCGCCCGACCCGGCGCTTCCGCCCTGAGGCCGCGCCCACTTCCGCCCCACCGTGGGCGGGGCCACGGAGCAGCTGGGACGCCGGGAAGGGCGAGGAATAGCGGCACTAGTAGGGTCTCCGAGCCCAGGAGACCCCGAGCGCGGTCCTCCCCTCCCTTGGGGGCGTCAGGAAGTTGGGCGCTGCGAAGCTGAGAACTGGATCTTGATTCTTTGAGTGTTGGTACTGCCCAAAAGGAGTAGTTTTTGCATTGAGTTACTCAAAGCATTAAAAATACACCTGCCTTGGGAAACTAAACAGGTGAAATGTTATGACTGTTGGAAGGAAAGAAGTAGTCGTGGGCTCATACTCTAGATGACTGGAGGAGTGAGTGAGTGGCGAGGAAGGGTCTCCCACAGAAGAATCCTGCATAGTCTGTGGAGATGCCGCACCCGGAAGCCTCACCCCCAACTTACAGAGTCTGTGCACAGGGATTTCTTCCAAAGACAACAGTGTGGAAAGGGGGAGAATGAGTACCCTCACAGTGGGGGAACCTGACAGACCCTCCCTCGGCACCAGCTCTGAGAAGTCACGTGGATAGGATGTGGACTGCGGAAGAGATCCACACTTCCCTTCCACAACCTATGATGCCAACCTAGTCACAGGGGGAATCAGAAAACCAAAAACAACCCTCAGGCGAGGGACAGTCTACAGACTGCCTGGCCTGTCACGGAAGAGAAAGAAAGCCGTGGGAAGCTGTCACAGCTAAGAGGAGCCTAAAGACCTGCGCCAGGGGCCAGCGCTGTGGCGCAGCGGGTTTAAAGCCCTGGCCTGAAGCACCGGCCTCCCATATGGGTGCCAGTTCGAGTCCCGGCTGCTCTTCTGAGCCAGCTCTCTGCTGTGGCCTGGGAAAGCAGTAGAAGATGGCCCGAGTCCTTGATCCCCTGCACCGATATGGGAGACCCAGAGGAAGCTCCTGGCTCCTGGCTTTGGATTGGCACAGCTCCAGCCGTTGGCCCCATATGGGGAGTGAACCAGCGGATGGAAGACCTTTCTCTCTGTCTCTCCCTCTCACTGTCTGTAACTAGCACTCAAATAAATAAATAAAATCTTAAAAAAAAAAAATCCTGTGACAATGTGATGCGATATCTTGGGTGGGACCTGAAGTAGTTAAAGGATGCTGGGCAAAAACTACAGAAATTTGAATTGAGGCTGGGCTTCAGTGAATAATTCTATGTCGATATTGGTTATTGGTTAATTAAGTGTGACAAGAGTGCTATACTAAAGTGAAATGTTGACATAAGGGAAATTGTGGTATTTTCGTAATTTTTCTGTAGTGCTAGAACTGTTCTAAAATAAAGGTTTACTTTTAGAAGTGCACATGCCTTTTAACTCAGAAATCCTGCCCCCTACGAATTGTATTCTAAGGAAAAACTGGAAATGGGCACAGTAATGTTGAGTGGGTAAATTCATCTCTAGCATTGAGTGGGGGGGAGTGAGGAAGCCCGAGAAAGGCCTGCAGTCCCACAGCAGGAGTTAGTCAACTACACCATGACCTCTAGGGACTGCCATACCTGGCAGCCTCCCAAACTGATGTTATAGAAGAAGATTTAATGATATAAAAAGTTACCGATCATGCTTGTATGTGTTTCTGTGTGACTGCTTTACTTCAATAAAAAGGTTACTCTGAAAACGTAAGGCCGGCGCCGCGGCTCACTAGGCTAATCCTCCGCTTTGTGGTGCCGGCACACCAGGTTCTAATCCCAGTCGGGGCGCCGGATTCTGTCCCAGTTGCCCCTCTTCCAGGCCAGCTCTCTGCTGTGGCCAGGGAGTGCAGTGGAGGATGGCCCAAGTGCTTGGGCCCTGCACCCCATGGGAGACCAGGAGAAGCACCTGGCTCCCGCCATCGGATCAGCGCGGTGCGCCGGCCACAGCGCGCCGGCCGCGGCGGCCATTGGAGGGTGAACCAACAGCAAAGGAAGACCTTTCTCTCTCTCTCTCTCTCACTGTCCACTCTACCTGTCAAAAAAAAAAAAAAAAAACGTAGAGGGGAGGACACTGGCCTAGCAGTTAAGACATCTGCGTCCCACAACCCAGTGCCCCCTCTAGCTCCTAGCTAATGTAGACTTGCAGAGGCAGCGGTGAGGACTCAAGTCATTGGGTTCCTGGCACAGGAGAGACCTGGACTGAGTTTCCAGCTCCTGGGTTGGCCTGGCCCAGTCCCAGCAGCTGCATCTGAGGTGTGAACCAGTAGGTAGATACTTGCTTGCTCTCTCTCTCTCTCTCTCACTCTCTTTCTCCTGTCTCTCTGCCTCCCAAATAAATAAATACAAATTTTTTAAAACAAAAAATGTAAAATAGAATTCTAGTCAAGTTCCAGCTGTTCCACTTTTGAACAAGCTCTCTGCTATGGCCTGGGAAAGCAGTAGAAGATGGCCCAAATGCTTGGACTCCTGCACCCACATGGGAGACCCAGAAGCAGCTCCTGGCTTCAGATTGGCCCAGTTCCAGCCGTTGCAGCCATTTGGGGAGTGAACCATCGGATGGAAGACCTCTCTCTTTCTCTCTGTAACTCTGCCTTTCAAATAAATGGCATTTCCAAATTTAAGACATCCAAAGAAAGCTTAGTTTCTTCCTGAGTTCCTATCAAATCTACCTGTGCTCCGCCATTCTGTTTTGGAAGTGTCAACACCATGAAATACAATCATGCAGATGAGATGCTCCAACCCCATTGCAGGTCCTGCTGCTTCCTGGTACGTCTTTACTTGGTTAATCGCAAAGCCTCATGGCTTCCATTCTCATGGGATGTTCACACCCACGCCCCCTCCACCCTCATTTGTTGTCGCTCTGCCATTGACCTCCTCTAGGCAGGCGGCCCCTCTTACGGACCATGCAGTAGCTGCCTTACTGGTCTTCCCATTTGCAGTCTCTCCCCGCAAAAACCCATTCTCCTCAATGGTACCGGAGGGAGCTTTCTAAAACACAATTTGGATCATGTCACTTCATCCGTCTTTCATGACACCTGCATCGCGATTGAGCATGCTAGACCACTTGCTGGCCCTTTAACACCCAATAAACATTCAGAGTGACGTGAAGGCTCAAATGCCAATGTCACCTCCATGAAGACTTCCCCTTGCTTGCTGACTCTTTTGGCTCCCTCCCTCTCACAGCACCTGCCAGTATCTTTATTACAGCACTTTCCTCATTCAACCCTCAATTAGAGCCAATTAGGCGCAACTTCGTCTCCCCAACTAAATCACTCAATCAACAGATACTCACTAGCACCTGCAACATGCCTGGCCCTCCCTATGCTAAGCCCTGGAGATAGGACCATGCGAACAGAAACAGCCTATGCCAGTGCCCTGGGGACCCCTAGCCACCCTGTTCTCAGCCCCAGCACGGGGCTTTCCCACGATCGGTGCTCAGTGAGTTACGACTGAAATGAATACGTGTTTACAAAAGGCTGGATCAGGGTTTAAAAGCCCTTGCCTCAATCTCAATTTTAAAGAAAACTCCGCCTTGATGGGATGCTGGAAGCCATGGCAGAGTCACATGTTGACGGAGGGTGACAAGAGAGGGGATCTGATGGGGATGAAGGGACAGCTCAAAAGAGACAGAGGCCATTTGCAGGGCACTGCTGTCTAAACCCAGATGGCAGAGTTGTAAGGCAAAGACGGAAAGGAAAATTGAGGGTGAGTAGTGGCTCTAGGGAAAGGTCACCACGCTTAGTGACTGAGGAAGTCTCTGATGGCGATGAGGTTAGAGCAGGTGTCAGTGGCGAAGGAGGGGAAGGAAGTGAAGGCTGAACAGCTCCCACAACTTGCAGGGTCTTAGTCCACCCGAACGAGGATGGACTGGGTCCAAAGAAAGGTAAGTGCGCTGCTCTCCCGTTCCCCAGCCTCCCGATCCCGGAGACAGTCAGACGCAGCAGGAAGTCAAGTCAAGTAAGCAAGAACTCATCTATTGCATGTATAGCAATGCCTTTTAAAGCACAAGACCGCAGGATTACTGGGGCAGGGCATAAGGACCAACCAATTACTTAAAAGGTCATTTTATGGGGCGACTTTTTACAGGACCAGCCATATGTCTGTACACTCGTCATCAGTTGTCGTCACCTCCCCTGATGCTGCGTGGCCAATCAGCTTTGGTGGTAAACGACTTTGGGTACCACCCACCTTATTTCCTTTGGGCGCCATCTTTGAATTGCCATGTGTGCCTAATTTCCCTGCAGGCGCCATCTTTGAATTGCCTCCTGTGCCTAGTTTCCCCATAACAATTAACTTGCTGTGTCTCAAGTTAGCCGCCTGCTTCTCTGTGCCCCCACCTCCTCGACAGGAAACGCTAACCTGTCTCTTGGATGGAGATGAAATGAACTTGCAAATGTAAAGCATTCAACAGAGGGCCCAACACAGACAAATTCCTCCAAAGGATGAGCAGTTACTGAGGAGAGTCTAGAAGTTTCCCTCCATTCAGCGTGAGAGCGAAACTTTTAGTTGAACAAAGAAATCCTCAGTTGAAAAAGGAGCTGCCCATGGGAGGGAATAAACACTTAAACAAGTGTTTAAGTAATTAATTAATAGTAAACAAAAAGTCTTCAGGGGCAGGCACTTCGATGCAGCGGGTCAAGTCATCCCCTATCAGCGTGCCTGGGACGGAGCCATGCCTCCTGCCTCCAGACCCAGCTTCCTGCTGATGTGTAGCCTGGGAAGCAGCAAGTCTTGATCCCAGTGTGTGCTTCCGCCACCCACATGGGAGGCCTGCACAGAGTTCTGGGCTCCTGGCTTCATCCTGATCCAGCCACAGCTGTTGCAGGAATCTGGGGAGTGAACCAGCACGCGAAAGATTCTCTCTCTCTCTCTCTCCCCCCAACCCCGTTCTGCCTTTCATATAAATAAAAATAAAAAACTTTAAAATTTTTTTCTAGTGTTGATTCATTAGATTCCCTGCACTCATAAAAAAGTCGTCAGCGTGGCCTGCACAGCCAGGTGCCTGTCTGCAGCTCATCCTGCCCCTCTTCCCTGT